CCCGCCCCCTCCATCCCCCGGGCCTCTTGACTTTGCTCTATCGCCCTGCTCCAAGGGGCTTAGAGTCGTTGGTCCGGACGGACATTCCCCACCACGGCGAGCAACAACTACCGAACAAGGATTGGAACGGTTTCAGGTGGAATGACTGCCCGACGCGCGATCCTCGCGTACCAGGTGGCTGAAACCTTTGTTGTGCTGTGCCTCTGAGCACACAGACGTGTCGTACGGGGTGCGTGGGTCGGGTGGTGTCTCCAACCATGGCCACTTTGCGGGTTGGGAACCGCGCCCGGCGCACCTGCGTGCGGTTAGACGATCTACGAAACGGGTGCGGTTTTTCAGTCGCCAGGTCGGTTGGCGTTGTTTTTTTTCCGAACCCCTCTACTATCAAAAGAATACTGCTATACAATACTATTTCGTTTCAACGGCATAGTTGAAAGCAGGTTGTTTTTTTAATGGAATGGAATGACCCCTGCCCCACTGTCGCACGCACACTTGCACGCACGCGCACGAGCACGTCGCGCAGCATAAAGAGACCGTTACCGGCGTTGCCTTCCTCAGGCCCCCGTCCTGCGGGTGGTGAGGAGCGCGGAGCGCCCTGGCCGCACCGCCCCCCGCCACGCCGCCGCCCTCCCTGCCCGCCCCCGGCCCCTCGGAGGGTGAGGCGGAGGCCAAGGAGAACACCCCTCCCGCGACCCGCGAGGACACCGCGAGCCCCGCGTCCGCGGCCGGAGTCGACGCCAAGACCAGGAGGGACTCCCCCGCCCGCGGGGAAGGCAGGGCCAAGAAGAACGTCACCTTCTCCGGCGAATGCGTCGGCGAGACTGATGGCCCCGCACCGACCAGCGAACAAAGTGTAGAAGAACCTCATCCTGGAGATAAGGAGACCCGGAAGGAGGACCGCCCGGGCGCCACCACCGCCAACATGGCCACGGCTGTCCAGGCCGCACCGCTGCCGCCTCGGACGGGCCGCATCCCGGTGCCGAGGCCGGTCAGGGCCGCCAGGTCGCTCACGTCCTCGCCGAGCATGGCCACCTCCGTGCTGCGGCCCCTCAACACCAACACGGCTAGAGCGGCGCCCGGGGTGGCCGCGGCCAGGACGCCTCTGGGCAGAGCGACCCCCGGGCGGGCGCCTGCCGCCGCCGCCGCCGCCACCACCACCACCACCACCAAGCCCCCCGTGTCGCGACTAGCGAGCCGGACCCCCAGCCCGGGTCAGGGGCGCGCCCCGCGGGGCCTGGGCCGCACTGCGGACACTGTGACCACGCCCTCCCGCGGCGGAAGCTCTTCCGCCTCGGGGTCGTCCACGCTCCCCTCGAGGACAAGGAGGCCGACGCCCAGGACCACCATGCCCAGGTAACACCAACGGTCTTCCTCTCTCCCTCTTTTCCCATTTCTCTATCTCTCTCGGCGTTGGCCGTATCCGTACCAGAAGGGATATATCCGAAGCGAGTTAGCGCTGCGGCCGTATTTATTGCCGAGTATGATGGCGTGTTGTTATGTGCAGCAGCGCGGCCGGCGACAGAGTGCCGGCCGTGTCGCCTCGCGGCAAACACCGTGTGCTGCCGTGTACCAGTAGCACGGCACACATGGCGGCAGTAGTCGCACCTCTGTGTTGTGTGCCCGCCCCGCCGCCCGCCGCCCGCCGCCCGCCGCCCGCCGCCCGCCGCCCGCCGCCCGCCGCCCGCCGCCCGCCGCCCGCCGGGGACACTCTCGCGGAACTCTGGGCGATTCCCTTGCAACTCTTGCAGGGGTGTGATCATCATGAGAGCCTTTGGGCGAGGCGCGCGGCACGACAGATCCGACTTTCTCCGCCGTCCTTTTTTTTCAGAGTTCGGCGTCAGGTAGGAAACAAACGGAAGTACACAAAATGTTTTCACAAAATGACTGAAGAACGAGCTGAAGAAGGACAAATAATGTGTCAGTCCTCATGGCGAGTACGTGAAATTGCCACACGGAGGACATCGAGGAGAAAAGGAAGGCAGCTTGGTAACAGGTGATCGGCGCCCGCTGTCGTGGCCACGGCGCGCGACACTGCCTGTGACGTCGTCGCGCCGACCTGACAGGTGGCGCGAGCGAGCGCGGGCCGAGGCTCGCAGCGCGCGCTGAGCGCCGGGCGGGTAGGCCGACAGATGCACGGCGACGCGCGGCGGGTCGGCCCGCGCGGCAGGGCGCTGTGGTCGCGGCAAGGATCAGAGCAAAGAGAACGAACAATGTTTACAAATAGATGACAATGTGTGTGCCCTGCCTGTAAAACTAATGAACTTCCAAGTTCGAGTGGCAGCCCTGCTCTGGTGGGTCGTGCATGCTTTAAACAAGAAACACACTTGCAGGGTGCCACCCAAAACAGGCAACTCGATCAACACGAAACTGCATGTAGCGCGGCGAAAAGGGGTAGTACTATATGCCGCTGTCCTGCTTCATCCCGTCGTAGTCTCGCCCCGCCCCGCGCCGCCCGGGTCCGATTTTCACGTGCGCCAGCTGCGCGCCGCCTGTGCAGGATTGATCGACGGCGACGTGCCTAGCGGGGGTATCTATTGACACGACACGACGACGCCGGCCTCCAAGGCCTTCAATCTCTCAGGACCGGGGCGCTTTTGTGTTTGGCTCGGCGGGGCGTGGCGGGGCGTGGCGGGGCGACGGAACCTATGGGTGCGGACGTCACAGGGAGCGAGCCCGCGGCGAGGGAGGACACCCGGGAGGCGGCAGCGCGCGCGGCGGGAGGGCCGACCGGTCTAGGACCCTCCCCTCCCCCTCCCCTCCGCCCGGCGACACGTCCCGTGGTCATGCTGATCACACCGATCGGTTCCAGCGGCGAGACTCGAACGCGTGCTCTTTAGTGCAAGAACAGGCCCTATTCATTGCCCGCTGAGCAAACGGGACTCTCGTGGCGGGTACAGGTGCGCGGGGGAGCTGGTGACACACGGACCGTGACCGACGTCATCCTCGCTGCCCTGCGGTGCCCCGGGCCCCCGGCTGGAAGGGCCGCGGCGCTGGCGTCACGAAGCAGGGCACGCGTAAGGGCTTGATGAGGACTTACGACTGCTCTTCCTCCCGCCTCTATCCGGACTGCCGCACAGATGTGGGCCAGGGTCGGGGCGGGGTCAGCCGATAAAGGGCACACCAAAGGGAGACGGGGAGAGGAGAGATACCGTGCTCGGCGCTTCTCTGCGGCCGAGAGAGGCGAGAGCGCCGGAAACTCGACTGTTTCGTCATGTCGCGGTTTTAATGTTTTCTCCAGCCTACATTTCGTTATTCTTTGAAGAGCAGGCGGGGAGGGGCAACGCATCCTGCCCCGCGCCCTCCCGCTTCGCCCTGTCCTGGACGTGGGGGCCCTCCCTACAAGGTGTGTGCCTGCCCGTGCCCTGCCCCACAGAGAGGGGGGCGGGGCGGGGAGCGCCGCAAGGGGTCGGCTTGATACGGAGCGTGAAAGGAAGGGCGACACCTGCGTGCGTGCGTGCGCGCCGGACTCGGACGTCGCGTGCCCGCCACGCCCCGCCAAAGCCCCGTCAAAGCCCCGCCGTCATGGCCCACCTCGCCTCAGCCCGCCCCGCCCCTCCCCGGCGTCGCGCTCGCCGAGACAGTGAAGGCGTTTTGGTCACTCGGACGTGAACGGAGTAAGTGGTGGGCGTCGGCCGCCGGGCGGAGCGTCGTGGACGAGCGCTTATCACTGGGAGGACCACTCGCGCTGGACAACGAGGCGGCCGCGGTCGCGGTGTGCCGCCCTGCTGCAGACTTGCGCCCTTCGTGCGTGCGCCCTTCCGTGCAGCTGTTCTGTCGCAGTCCTGTCGCCATGAGGGGTAAATACTCGCTGTACAGCGCTTACATTAGCCCGGTCCACTGAGGGACCGCCCAGAAGGCTCGTCCGTTGTCCGTTTTTCTACAAATTCGTTCGGCCAATTTCGGGACCTTGACGGCGCCTGCGATACTCGGGGTAGGCCACCCCGCGGTACACGCGTGCACTGCGGGCACGATCATGCCTAACCACTAGGCGCTATCAGAGCTTGCCGCGAGGCTGAAGTTTGCAGGTTGTTCGAAACCGCGAATGACGGACGTACTGGATGATCTTTTTCTCGGCGCTCGTCGGCGGCAGTGCGGTTCGCCCACCGGGGCAACGAGGCCTCTCTGGAGGAGCGACGGTAGCATCCTCTCGCCTCTGTTGCACTGCATCGGTCGCTGCACTCGGTGTTGCAATGCCTCGGCGATAATCATAATAACGCCTCGTTATGAGGAATTAGCGCGCCTCCTGGGGCACGGCGGGGCGGGGCGGGGCCGGGCGGGTCCCTGGTGAGTAATCCGCGGAGGTACTCGAGACCTGCGTGGGCGCCGCACCCTGCTGCTGTCAGTGCTGCCTTGCCGCCGCAGCCCCGCAGCCCGCTGCTCGACAGCTTTGCGGGCCAGATTAGCGAATATCCTTATCGGCCTGGCCGGGGCCCGGGGCCCGCGGCTCGCGGGCACACCCGGACCGCGGGTCGCAAGGGCAGTCGCAGGCTGAACGCTGACGGGTCCAAACCGCCGTCACGGGCCGCGAGCAGCAGCAGAGCGACTGTGGGCTGTGGGCGTGGGGCAGGAGTACGGGCTGTGTGCCGCCCCGACTGCACCGAGTGCAGGTGAGTCAGGACGGACTGCAAGGGGCGCAGGTGGCCTGACCCCTGACCCCGTTCGGGTGCGAGCCCAGGGGCCCCGCCGAGCCCCAGCCCGACTCTCAGTCATGATGCAAGAGGATGGGGCCGGGGGGCTCGCGGGACGCGCCAGGATGTGCATATTATAGGAGGCCGACACCGCAACACCCAACCCCACCTCGGCGGGCGCCTCCGTGCATAAAGGAGACCTCATCGACGTGCCCCGCTTAGCTGCCAAGACTTGCGTTCCTCGCCGTTTGTCTCCCGCCCTCCCCTTCCACCCTAGATCGCCGCGCCGCCGCCCAACATCTCAATACCGCTCTGATCCAAACTCAATAACTTGGTGTCATGCCGACGTCGGCCAGCAGCTAGCGGCACGCCGCCCTTCCTCCACCTGCCTTTGAGGTGTGCGGCCTATAGGTGTCGGCCGGGAGCGGGGAGTGGGGAGGAGGAGGAAGGGGGTATCCTACGTGATGGTGCACACTGGGACAGTGGGCCGCACTGTGCGCGGGTCCTTCAAGAGGTTCCCAGCGCGGCGGTGCGGCCGACAAGACTCGCGTCCACACATGCCGGGCACCAGGGCAAGGCGAGGCACGGAACGACGAGGCACGGCGAGGCACGGCCCCGCCGAGGTCTGCTGCGCTCGAGGCTGCACCGACACCGGCCTCCAAAAAAATTATAAAATGTGGAGCAAAAGCGTGCAAGGTCGCGCGCGGGCCACGCCGGCTCCGCATCCGGGGTGATACGCGGGACGGGACTGCCACAACACGACGGGGCGGTGCGGGGCGGCACTGCAGGGCACTGCTGCTGCTTGCTGCTGCTGCCTGTGCGTGACAGCGAGCGCTTCCCCCGACCCGGTACAGTCGTTCACTCGCACCCACGCCGCGCGGTGCGACGGGCCGGGCCGGGCGTGCCGCGAGCAGGAGGGGGAGAGGGGGAAGGGGAGGGGGGACGGACACGGCAAGTGAAGGGAAGGACCGGGGGGAGGAGCGAGGGGGAGGGAGGGTTTGTTAATTGACACCATCGCACGGCAAAAAAGGGAAGTGCCGCTGCCGCCGCGGTGGAAACGTCTTTCCGAGGAAATGAAAGAAAGAAACGTTATCCACACTCAGGCCGTGACAGGTCGTCGGCGTCGTCGGGCGTCGCTCCGCTCGCCTCCGGGTCCCCCGGTAGACCCCGGTAGTGAGGAAGGGAGGAAGGTTTCCCCACAGACGAATCCGAGTGAGGGAAATGTAAACTTTGATTAGGCGTTTCGTGGACAGCAGCCGTGCCACTGGGCGGCCCAACGGCGCTAACCTGCGCGCGATGTGGCGGCAGCGCCTTTGCAAGAGGAGAGGGCGTTCCCTCAGGTTCCCGCGGAGGAGGTCGGCCCGGCGTCGAGCCCTAATGCCGAACAATTACGGGAGAGGTGAGAAGAGGGGGTCGGGGAGGGAGAGAGGCACAGCGCGCAAATGTACCAGTGAGTGGCCTGTGTCGGGAGGGGGGGGGCAGTGGGGGGTATGGGCTGCAAGGCACGGGTTAGCGCAGTTATGCCGTTCGTCATACACCCCAACAACGGGGAGAAGGTATTACACTTTTCCCTGTAAATTTTGTATGAGCGTCGCGATGACTGCGGCCAGCGTGTTGCCCTGGAAGTAAATTGAAATATTGCAGGGCAGCGCCACTGGGCGCCCTGGCCACGCACTGGAACGCGTTGCGTGTGGCCGGCGCACCGCCCGCTGAGCACTTCATAGTCATGCAAGGCACTCCGGCTGCGGCAGGAGAGCCGGGCGGAGCCGGGCGGCTACGAGCGAGGCCCAAGATGCTCGTCAGATAGGACCGGCCGCGGACCGGCCGCGCTATGGGCGCTTTCTCGTCGGCGAACATCGGCGTATGAATTGGAGAACGGGACGGCGGCGTGCGTCCCTGGCGCGCACACCGCAGGTGGATTGTATGTGGTCCATGCGCAGTACACGCAGTACACGCAGCCTCCCGCGGGTCGCGGCGCGGCCACCTTCCACAGCCTCCGGGTACCTCCGGCGGCCGCGGCAAAAAAGTAGCCCGGAGCGAGCAGAGCCGGAGGCGGCGGCGGCGGCGCCGGGCCCAGCGGGCCCCACGGCTCCCCGGCGCGGGCCCCATGCGGCCGGGACGCTCTCCAGCTCAGTCGACTGCGGGCGGGCGGACTCTCCGGCCGGTACCGACTTGTACCGGGCGCGGCTTCGCGTCGTCTCCAGGCCGCGGGCGTCGGCGGCGTCGGCGTCGCGGCGGTCAGCCGGGGCACACCCGGGGGACGAGCGTCGGGACCCCGCCACCGCGGGACTGGTCTTCCCTCGCCTGCCAGCCGCTCCGCTGAGGGCCGCCCAACAGAATGTCAGTGCCGATCGACACGGATAGTGTTGTTCTGTCCAAGTCTCGAGTGGTTTCATCTGTCGTTTCCGCGATACTACTACACCCCGGTCGGATTAGCGTTATCTCCGTGACGCCTCCGTCTCATCGAGGCGCGCCCCGGTCTGCAAATATGATACAACTGTCAAGGCGACTTCCTTCCTGACGTCTCTTGTCGATGTCGTATTTTTCGCCATTGGTTCGGCACCGTGTCGCCGGCGCCCGGCGCGTCACATCGACACGAGTCGTCTTTAATTAATTAATTGAGGGCCACCCAGCTGCAACCGCCAGGCCGGCCGGTCCGGCCCGGCGCGGGCGGGGAGCATCCTCGCCACGCTTTCTGGCGCGGGGCCCGGCGGCCGCGGGGCCCGGCACCTTGAGCCGTCCCGGCCGCAGCCGGAGAGCAGGGCGATCGCCCAGCGCCGCGCGACTCTGGACGAAAACGTGAAGCAAAAGGGGGCTTCTTTCAACTCTCAGGGTGCCTCCCGCGACAGCGACCGAAATGGGCGATACTTGATTAGTGCTCCCCCCCTGTGTGCGCGGTCAGCCGCCGCGCCGACCGATGGCAGCGTTCAGGACGAAAAAAAAAAAAAAGGTTGGCCCTGAACAGCCGATATTATGAACGCGGCAGGGTTCATTCCCTCCCGATTATTGGGCGCTCTCCTGCTTTACCGCGCCGGCGGGCTTTAGTTTTTGTGCTCATTACTGCGTCGCACTCGAGCGGTCCCGCGGCCGCGGAGCCGGAGCGGCGCCCCGCGACAGGACAGGTCGCCATGGTCGAGGGGCTCCAGGGGCTCTCCTCCTGGAGCCGTGCCTTCCGAGCTCGTTCTAAGGGCGTGCGTTCTTGTGCCCACACAGGGTCTCGTCGGCGCCCCGCCTGCCGCTGGGCCCAGCGTCCATGGATCTCACCAGGTTCACGACGTCGGCCCACGGCCACCCGGAGGGGGCCCTGTCCCGAGTGATCATGGTGCGGAAGACCGAGCAGAGGGTCTTTACGTCGCTTCAGGGCAGCGAGGTGAGTCCAGCGGAGCCCGATGTAAAAGTGTCGCCAGACAATCGGCCACGCGACTAACAGGCTGGCTGGCTATCGCTTCCAGATCCCCAAGGTGGAGACGCTGACCAGGGAGACGGTGGAGACGTTCAGAGGCAACCGCACGCAGCGCAAGGTGACCACGTGCCAGAAGCGCGACGGCTCTCTCGCCGGCGACCTGGCCGAGCTACGGTCCGCCCTGAGCTCCGGATACACGACGCCGAGGACGGGGCGCACCACCCCGGGGACCGGCGGCACCGCCACCCCGCTCACTTCCGTCAGCAGCTACGCGGCGAGCGGTAAGTCCCGGACACCCGCTCGGAGGGGGTGAGTCACTCTGGCTCTACTTAGATAACGTTCCGGATCGAGCCTAACGACCTACAAGTCGGCCGGGCCAGGCGTTGTCGCGGGTGAGGCTGGGCTACGCGGGCTGCGTCGTTAGCGTGGAACAATGCCGGCCGTGCCGGGCACGCCACGGGCACGCCCCGCGGTGGCGGCCCGGGCGCCGTCAAAGCATAGGCCCCCAAGGCCGAAGCGCCGCTGTCAGAAACCTCACGATTTGGGAATAGATGGTGCCGGTGGGAGAAATTGTTTTGTCCCGATAATGGGTGAAGGATTAACCACGGGCAGGGGATGGCGCTGTTGTTCGGTTCCGCCCGCTTTTTCTACGAAAACACTTCTCGCTTTTCGCTTTCGTTTCGGCCCCGCGTGGTCCACAGATAAACCGAAAATACTATCAATATCTAAAGTAAAGTGACGTCAATCGACTCCAATCAGTCGACGACCGGTACGTCATCGACCGCGGGGCTTAGGGCACTTACTCCCTTCCTGTCGATAGTAACACGTCACGGATAAGACTTGCTCTCTGGAGCTCACGACAGGATAAGAAGCCCGCGAGTCCTAGGGCGGGCCATCATTCGTCGAGTAGCTCGGCAGCATGAGGAAGTACCTCTCCTCCGTGTTCCGGCCCACCGAGGCCCCCGCTGACGCCACCCCTGTCTCTTCGACAGGCATGTCTTCGGCGGACCCCGGGCGCCGCTCCCCCAGCAGCTCGCCGGACCGGCCAGGCAGCAGGGCGAGCCACGTGAGCGTCACCAGCAGGGCCAGCAGCAGCAGTACGACCACGGTAGGTACTCACTCCGACACCCCGTTTAACACGTTCAAGGCGGCTCGTTTTTGATGCCTATGATTTAATATGGGAGCGTGACCATTGAACGTGTTCAACTGATTACGGACGTTAAAAATGCTCTGAAAATAGTGACTACCTCTGTCTATACACTTTGAGTATACCTAAGCCCGGCCCGGCAGGCTGATCAGCCGCTGATGACATTTTCATACAGAAAAGGGTAGTCGAAGTCGTTTTGACTCCGTGTTGGCCGTCCTTGTTCCACCTGGGCCGTACACCAGTTTCTGACCCGGGGTGTGCCTGTTTCCCGCAGCAGAGGCTGAGCAAGTCCAAGTCGCGGAGCCTCTCGGACGGCGAGTCGTGCTTCGGCGAGGACTTCGCCCAGGCCTTCCTCGCCACGCACAACGAATACCGCGCAAGGCACGGCGCGCACCCGCTCAAGCTCAGCAAGAAGGTGAGCACGGTGGAGGCCAGTTTACAAGTCTGCGAGAAAGTCGTGACGACGACAGTGTCGTATGATGTGCGCGTGTCGTCTTCAGCTGAGCAGGTACAGCGAGGAATGGGCCAAGCGGCTCGCCTCCAGGGGCGTCATCGAGCACCGCAACGACTCGGAGCACGGCGAGAACATCTTCTGCTCGTGGTCCTCCAACCCGGCGCACACCGTGGCCGGCGATGAGCCCGTGCACCACTGGTACAGCGAGATCAAGGACCACAAGTTCGGCAAGGAGCCCACCTCGCTCAAGACGGGCCACTTCACGCAGGTAGGCCACACTGCGCTGCACTCGCGCGCGGCGGGACAGCCTACCCCGCAGTCGGCAGGCGTTCCGAGGCGGCGGGTCCTCACCCGTTCCCTTCCCTCCCCGACAGGTGGTGTGGAAGGACTCCCGCGAGCTGGGCGTGGCTGTGGCGCGCAGCCGCACGGGGCAGGTGTTCGTGGTGGCCAACTACTCGCCGCCGGGCAACTTCGTGGGCTGCTTCGCGGAGAACGTGCCTCCCGTCGGGTAAGCCAATGCTCGGCGCGGCCACCCGCAAATGGCAACCCTCAATGGCAACAGGATTTAAACTCGGTTGGTGTCTTTAGGGGCTTCCCCTCGACGCCGGGCGCGGCCCTGTCCCCGGTGCGCGAGGGAGTGGAGGCCGGCGGCTCCGAGGACCTGGCCCAGGAGGGCCTGCGGCTGCACAACGAGTACCGGCGCCAGCACGGTGTGCCCGCCCTCCGGCTCAGCACGCAGCTGTGCGAGTACGCGCGCGACTGGGCGCGCACCCTCGCCCGCGAGGACCGCTTTGCGCACCGCCCCGACGGCCGCTACGGCGAGAACATCTTCTGCGCCTGGTCACCGGACAGCGGCACCGGGCCATCCTCCAGGGTGGGTGCAAAGGAGGCCTGTGATACCTGGTACAAGGAGATAAAGGACCACCCCTTCGGCCAGGAACCCCGGCTGCTCAAGTCAGGTGAGTCATGTGCCTGCATGTAGTGTACTGTAGTCAAAATCTGATTTTTTAAATACAATTTTTAAATGCGATTTACAGGTCATTTCTCTCAGATGGTGTGGAAAGAGAGTAAAGAGCTGGGGTTGGGCATTGCAAGAAGTAAGAACGGACGCACCATCATAGTTGCCAATTATCATCCTCGTGGTAATTATATTGGCCAGTTTGCTGATAATGTGCCAAGACCAACATCAGGACCACACTCATCATAGGAGCGAATGGACGATTTTAAAGACCAATTGCCCCCCCCCCCCCTTTTTCCCACAGTTTTAAAGGTATGGTGTATTGTCGATGTGTTACACTACATTCCATAATTCATACCACTAGTAACCGTTACTCTTAGAAATCCTTTCACTTTGTTTAGCTTAATTCATTTACTTTTATATTTAACTGTCAAAAGACATTAAGGTTGGTTACATTTATTGACAGGTTTCATGTTAATACCAAAGAGTGTACTACAGTGCAGAGGCCATAATGCACCGCACCATAGGACAATTTCAAATTAATAAATTTGCAATATGGAGCATAGAAGTAGTTTTTTATACTTCACTGAGCATTTTTCTAGTTACCTCAGACTGCTTTTACATGCAGTTTTATTAGATCTTTGATGACCTTTTCAAAGCAATTTTTCATCTCCAATGATATAGTACTCTGCGTATTATTAGCAGGTTTTAGGTAATAAATTTGACTAATTAGTTGACAGTCATGTATGTATTTTGAATTCCAATGAGAATTTTATACCGTTAAGGAAAACATTTGTACGTTATCCATGTTAAAAATATAACACAAAGATTAAAGATTTGAAAAATCTCGAGTAGTGGTTTTTAAGTGGGCGGAAATCCAAAAATGTATGTACTGTAGGTAAGAGCTCTCCATGTAAACATACAGTACCTTTGTTTGTCATGAAAAAATTCAAGGTTGAAATAAGAATGAGCATTGATTGATTATGAAATATCTCAGGTATTGTTATCCAAAGAATTCGTAAAATTGAAAGAACTAAGTAGACAACCAAATGAAGAAAAAAATGTGCATCAGTGCATAGACAGAATTTACACAAGGCCACACATTTTTTTTTTTTTTAGGAAGTCAAATTTAAGGCACATATAGGATTTTAGAGGATGGCAGATAAGTTTCACATAAATGAGTAAACAAAACTGAATTTAAAGGAACTTACAAGGAAGCTTAAGCAAAAAGCACCAAATTGATATAAGACTGGTGGCAATGGCTAATGTTTGATTGGGTTGACTTCAAAAGTTAGAGACTATACATGAATATAACAAAACTCAACAGACTTGACATCCATTTCTTGAAGCAAGTTGAATGAACAACATTGTTCTTAATATTGCATAAGATAAAATAGTATACAACACTTAATTGAGATTTTTAAAACATTACTTATATGAGCTAACATGTATAACAACTATGCAAAATACTTGATATAAGATATAATCACATAAATTCCAGTAGTTAGTGTGCTGCTGAACAAGAAAATCTTTTAAAACTTTTGGCTTTTCTCAGCGATCAACACATACTTGGTATAGTTAACTCAGTTAAACGATGTTACTGTGGTGAGCCACTCCACAGCAACTCTCTCCACAGATATCAAAAGAAACACCACTTTTACAACCTTTGAATACTATTTTTGTAATCTTTACTTACCAGCTCTGTAGCCAGAAAAAAAAAAGCAACAAAAGAAACAATGTGTGTAGCTGAAAGGTTTCTTTCACTACAGTATAATATATTTTCTAATAAAAACATTGTGTCAATAATTGAGTTCAGATTATTACAGACAAACCAATCACTGTTAACTCCAGTAGCTCCTTCACAGAGGCTGTTCAAAATTGCAGTATAAATGATATCAAGAGAATATCTGACATTGCTTTCTCCTCTTAACATTTTTCTGTACCATCATGAGATTACTTTTTTTTTGCACTGGGTACAACTTCATACCATCTTGAGGAGTATATGGTGCACTTTGACCTCAGTAGGGCCCACCTTCCTTCTTACGGGAGACAGCACCTGAGAAAAGCAATTTTCATGTTGTATTGAGATTGAAGGTAAGTAGTTCCAAACTATGAACTATCATGGCACAAATCCATCAGATTATAAACTAAACGTTATCAATTTAAAAAAGAAAAAAAAAAAACACCAATGAATACTTCAAATACAAGAGATGGCCTCAGAATTTGACATTAGATGCACTTAATAATGGGAAAAGCTAATTTATTGGGAGTGAGTTCTGATGTGCACCTTTAGGGCACTGCTCCAGGTGAAGGACTTTCCACAATCATTGCATGAATATGGCTTTTCACCAGTATGAGTCCTCCAGTGCCTTTTTAAAACATCAGCACGAGAAAAACTAGATTGACATTCTGTACACTTAAAATGCTTCTCACCTGTATGAGTGTTCATATGGCCTTTAAGGTAGCTTAATTGAGCAAATCTCTCGCCACATTGGACACAACAGTATGGCTTTTCAGGAGAATGACACTTTAAGTGTCTATTGAGATCACTGCCTTTGGCGAAAGCTCTACCACACTCCATACACTTGAAGGGCTTTTCTCCGGAATGTGACATGATGTGATACCGAAGAGAGTCTGCTCTCGCATACACTGCTTTACACTCAAAGCACTCATATGGCTTTTCACCAGTGTGAGTTCTATAATGTGCTTTTAAATTCCGGGGTGAGGCAAACCCGCCTCCACACACTTCACACGTAAATGGCTTTTCCCCCGTATGAGAGCGAATGTGTCGCTTTAAATCACTGGGGCGAGTAAAAACTTTGCCACATTCTTGGCAAATTCTTTCATTTGCAATGTCCACACTGGTGACTATTGGGCGTTGAGTTGAGGGCTGAGCATTGTTCGGAGAGGTTGTTTCCCTTTGAACAGCATCTCTTTCAGTTTTACAAATATTTTTATCATGCTGCAATCTTGAGAGAGAGTGAGAAGAGAGTTGGTGGTGAGCCTGTTGTTGTAACAGATGAGCCTGGTGATGAATAGCAAGCTGTAACTTTGCTGCATCGTGATGCACTTGATGCAGTAGGTTAGTAGCAGACGTTGTAGGCTGCAAAGTATCTTCTGACTTCACTGCATCAATAGAATACTGTGTCCCAACAGAGTGTCTTTCTGGTTGAGCAATGGATCCACACATAAAGTCTGGGCAGGGCATAGTTCTGGGAAATGTCAAATTGATGTCAACAAAGGAAACATACAATTGTGACTTTTCCTTCAGTATGTTGCTGACGTATCAACGACATTTAGGAAGTAAGAGACGTTTCCTAAAGAAAAAATTAAAAGATTAGATGCAAAAAAGGAGTAGTAGGAAAATAATTACATAAAACATCAAATTTCAAAGCTAAATCTAACCTCATCATTGCCCTTTACTCTGCAGTTGAACGATATTCGGTTGTTCTCACGACAAAAGTAAGGTAGAAATCCGTTTCAGTGATATCAATCGAGCTAAGTAAAGCTGAAAGTTGTAGAATGGAAGGATTTCTGACCATTTAAAGACGAAACTTCCTCCCTGAATGAAAATGCACACATCAACAACAATAAATGGAGATATGCCAAATGCGAAGCAAGTTGTTGCATTGGTTTTGGTATTGCAGTTCAAGGACGACGACAAGTGTGTACTTCCCGCCACAGTTCAAATGCAGACTGTGGTTAACGAATTCAGGATCTTGAGATTTTCAAGTCAGGATTGATCTCTTACTGACTTTTTTTGTCAGAATACTTGTTAACATTGTGAAGGAAAAAGTTGGAGGATTAGTAACTCAGATTTTTGAAACAATTCTTCTTTATTATTGAATTAATCATAATTATGAATACAGTATAACGATTACAGTCTAGCAAATCAGTTTCTCTTCAGCATGGACATATACCAAAATGCATTCTGATTATGAAGAATACTATGAGACATGATATGTATACATCATGAAAGTCAGAAAGAAGAAACAGGTACAACAGCTAAGCTCCCTTATCACCTTACATATATTTTTAATCTGACTAAATAAAACAAGTAACAATGAAAAACACAAAGTTATCCAGAGATATTTTTTCAATATATGCAACATGTAACAATGAATACTCAAGGCAAGGTTCAAAATATCTCTTGCACTGCATCCAAAAAACAATTACTTTAGATAGTTCCTTAAAATGATAGGAAACCTGGCAGTGAAACCTGTGATGTGGTGATCAAGGAATATGCTTTTGGCCCAAGTATAATGGTCATTTTTTAAAATTTTCTTTAAAGACACAGGACTGGTTTTAAATATTTTAATTACAGTAACATGTAATTGATCTACACAAGCAGGAAGAGATAACTGCAGTAGGGAAAGAATTGCATCAAGTAGCATGGGAATAACCACAGCGCAACAGTGACAAGACAAAGCACCACATGTTCTTCTTAACAAAATAGGCCACTGTGTATTGTTGACTACAGAAACCTAAAGCTATCAAGGAAGAAGAAAACTCTCAAGCAAGTATTCAATTTATTGCTAAGATTTTGCACAGTGGATGTAATATAAATAAAATCTTCTGAAGAGATGAGTTTAAAATTATGCTTCCTCAATCTCTTAATCACATGATTAACAACAATGCAATTTATAGCTGGACACCTAATCAAATATTCTTTGTTTACAGTTTGAATACAATATGGTCCAATCTAAAAAAACAAAAAACAAAAACCATCAAAAAACGATTTTTAATGACTGACCAGCTGCTTACCGAGCTGTTACAAAATTAGAATTATAAGGAAATAATAAATTAATTACCTTGTCATACAACTAAAGCTATATAAAAAGCAAAACTGTGTCCAAAAGCATAGAAAGAAGTTTCCGACAGAAAGCAGTCTCTTACTTGAGCGAAGGGAATAACTCAAATGTCTAGGAAGATCAAGTTAATTGTGAAAGTTTACTCTCTAAAATGAAAAATATTACCACTATGCCATGAGAGCAATAAAAAAAAAATTAATCAGAAGGTAGCTTATCAAAAACAAACAAAAATAAGAAAGGAATAAAACACTGTGCTTTATGAATGGGAGCTTCCCAAAACCCACAATAGTACACATCGTAACAGTTAGTAGCAAAACAAAACACTAAGAGGTCTCCCAAAGAGGCCAAAGATATTAGGCAATACAATACAATGTTTGCAAGATTCTCTCTAAGATGAGTTGCATGTGAAGAACATTTTTTGTAACAATAATGGCTCCTATTCCACTTCTATATCACTTAAAAGTTTCACACAGCCTATATTAAAATAAAATTAAGACACACAAAATGAAGTCACAGTTCAAATAACCAGCTTCATACAGTAGACAAATTAAGTTATGAAGAAAATAGCCTGAAGTTCAACTCCTACACTGTCATTTACTATACATAAAATAGACAGCAGGAGAATCATTAAAGGAAATGACAATGGCTCCCCAATTTCAGCGGTTCTTGCTATAGATTGTCTTTGTACAAGATATTAAAATCTGAGATAATTCATTATCCTCAATCAGTGGCACACTTATCAAGAGTAAATTCACCTTCAACAAGAGAGTGAACCAAAGAGACTGAGGTCAGTTGACAGTTTGGTGCTTCATGTGTAAATACTATTGGTTTGTGAGTATTATGAAAATTAATGATTTCATGAATCATTGAATCCTAAATTTACATTGTCTTCGGGAAAAACACTGTACAAATTTCATTAAAAGTAATTGAGACAGTCTTAAACAAGTTTGATTGGCCACTTAATACCTGTTTTGTTTGTTTGTTACTGTTTTTAAAACAAAGGAATGGTTTTTGACATTTCTAAAACAGAACATAAACACTTTAAGTGGTCACTTGCTATCACAATCAATTATATGCTTTTAAGCAAATTGGCTAAATGGCTCTACCCAGAAATTTGATTATATTGAATAAAATGGGGCCAAAATAGATCAGCAAAATCAGTTGAAAATATCACAATCTCAATCACTCAGTGGACAATGTACATTAAACCACAAAATGAGCCACAATGTGTGAAAAGATGAGGGATGATGGTTTGGTTTAAAATTACAACAATTTCTTAATTTGATAAGTCATAAAAACTAGACCCTCTGATAACACTAATAAATATGTACAAAATGTACTTTATAAACCTAAATGATTGCACTTTTACCATAAACACCACAGTAAGCAGTGTGAGGTGTATAAGGGTGGTAACCTGACTTCAACACTAAACAATACCCTAACTTCAAAGGAAGAATGGACTGAGAGGAGGGGCTTTTTATCGTTTATCCCCCTCATCACACACTTTAGCTAAGAATGGAAGGGTTAAAGAAAGTCTAAATTTACTCTGTCTTCTTATTCGATTTATCTTGCTGCTGTTTGAGCTTTTTGTAGTCCTGGAAGAGGGTACGCATGTCAGCCAAGGACTTTTCAATAACCTTTGCAAACCTGCTTGAGTCCTGCAAGGAGAGGAAGAATTTAATAGATGGATAGATACATGTTTATAATTTGTAAAAGCTCGGTCTAGCTCGTCATTTTTAGTGTCATTCCGCTGTTAGCATCGGTTTTTCCAAACAACTAGAGTAGGAAACGACAACTAATTGCTCCGATTTTGCGTCATTCCGCATTTAGCGGCGTTTGTTTTTTTTTTTCAAGCAACATCCACTGACGTTATATCGGGCTTATACTACTTACTTTTACCTATATTTTGGTTTAATAACTTACTGTAGTATCACAGCTGCGTTTGCTTGAAATATGGAAAAAGATAAGGTCTTCTCCAGCAATAATATATGAAACACCATATCCGTCATCAGCAACTGGACCAAAGCCTCCTCCAGCAGAAATGCACTTCGGGAACTTTTTAAGATCCATTTTAGTTGTCTGACCGTGAGGTGTTTGAGATGTTGACAACCTCCAAGGTTCACTTAAGACTTCCTACAGAGAAACCAAAAAAAATGAAAAAATGAAAAAATGAAAAATGAAAAAAAAAAAAAAAGACGAAGAAAAAAACACTGGTTGACATTTGCACTTCTTAAGAGCGCCGTGACTTTGATTTTACTTACTTTTAAGAATGGGGACTCTACCTCCAGGTACTTGGAAACAACATATAGACAGAATAGATGTCGATCAATACCTTTGCCACACATAGCATCTTGGATACCCAAATGGTGCACTTTGCAAGCTTTCTGCAGAAGGGCAACTCTCTCTTCAGTCTGAAAAATACAAAACAAAGTTATTAGAAGCTCAGCAATTTATTGGCAACCAAAGAGAAGATTTGTTAGACGTACTGTGGAATTTTTGCTTTCCATGGACTTAACCCATTCAGATGACTCAATTGTACATGGCCTAACAGTTTCAGTCCTACCCTCCAGGTAAAGGCGTGTCATGGATGCCTCATAAGTCAAGCTGAACTTGCCAGCATCCTATGAAATAGAAAATTCTTGTAGATATTTACTTAATTTACAATGAAGTGGTCTCTAAGACAATAGCTAGCTCATAAGTGATTGATTAATCTTCCATGACACATACCCTGTAGTAGGCCAGCTGCATAGCCATTTGAATATAAGCATCTGGACTCAAACGACATTCTTTCATGAAGCCCTTGCCATAGGCATCATGAACATAGATCCTCAAGTCAACATCATTCAGGAGGTTTACAGCAATCTTAAAAACAATAAATCAAATAAATAACCAGTATAGCTCTGATATTCGAGAGTTAGCAGTCACAATTACATTAGATACAATATTGTACCTTGTAAGATGAATCAATAGCAGCCAATGCCTTCTCATTTAAATCCCACTGCAAACGGATAGGAGCTGGAGGCTGTAACTCAGGTTCACCAATTGTGTGGCCATCAGGTGCATATCTAAGAGCATAAGAATAAGACTTGAGAAAATGAGGCCAGAATAAAATGGCCAAGGTCTGATTCTAAATGAAATGAGTGATTGTCCATTAAAAAGGTTTGTAAAGGGATGTTTTAAATTATTTTATTTTTATCCCCCAAGAAAGGTACTTTGAATAGGGCATTGAAAGGAAACAATAAAAGAAACCAACAGGGATTTTTGATCAAATACTTAACAAGGGGACTTAACAACTGCCAGCATCAAGCCAGCATATTCATTAATGTAAGTCATACATTTGGTACAACATGCATCTTGTTAGAGTACTGTATGATGACTTTTGTAATTCATTTTCTTATAGTTAGGTCAAGGTAACGGTGCTAAGTGTTACTGGTTTCACTAAAGCAGCATGCAAACAATTTAGAGTAGCAAGCAAGTATATTTATAAAGCAAAGGAAGTGGGATAGTAAGAGAATTACAGGATGAGACTAAGGACATCTATGCTAGGAGAATATTGAGAAATATATTAGTCAACAAAAAGGTATCTTAATATGACAACCTCACATTTAAGTTCCACATATTGACTGAGTGATTTAAATGGAAAGGTCTGTTAAATGGCATGACTGAAGTATGCAGGGATTGTACAATAATGAAATATTAGGGGCAAATATTGCTACATGGAAAAGATATGAATGCAAGAAACATAAAAAGGAACTTCTTAAGAATTGTCATTACCCGACTTCTGTGTCTCCAGCAATCACATGTTCCCATAAGTGTCCCATGACAGGGGCGTCAGCCCTGGTAAGCAGTAAAAAAAAACAAAAAACTAAATAATGTAGAGTACAGAAGAATCTGAGAAAGACAAGGTTGCACCATGTACCATAGTATCGCCTGTCTCCCAACTAACTCAGGCATTTGTAAGAACAACATTCAGACATTCAACAGTAATGTAATGCTTGCTAAATACGGTAATTAAACTTAAAACACTCCATTGAAAACAAAACAAAAAAATCTATCTACAAAAAAAATGAAAAGAAAAGAAGAATCTCCTAGCTGTTCTGTTCAAAAGCAACAAATTCAACTCGCAGTACCAACTATTAACAAGATGAGAAAATGGGAAAGTGAGCATTAATTTGATTGCAAATAAATCCAACACGTGTAATATATGATGTTTCTTGCTGTGCAGAATCCTCAGAAGAGACCTGCTATACAAAACAAACATAGCACACCAGAGTCAAAGCCGAAAATCTACTGGTACCCAACGGCTCTTGATCAAACAGCAGTATGTAGAACTGATAATATTCACATTAGTACAAAAAGGGGCGAAAAATGCTGATACTAGATCTCAAAAATTGCTGCCTGTTCATGGCTCAAGTAGGGATGAGCCTCACTACATTAGACCAAATAGTCTGACGGAAAGTTCTATTTAAATCTTTTAAGCAAAGTTAACTGGTATGAAAGTTTTAATGCGTAATAGTAGGAAAGTTGGAAATAAACCGTAAGGATAGTCCACCACCATGGTACCACACGTTTCCGTACACAAGCTGCAATGTTGCGGGTTTGCTTACTCAATTGGACCGTAGGCAGCCGAAGGGGCCATGGCGCAACACATATTTGCAGCGAGTGCAAAGAAACACACGGTATAGCTATTTACATATTGAAAAACTGGCAAAGAAGTGCCACCACCATGATGAAGGTTTTCACCTGACTCAGAAATAGAGAAGGAAGTGAGAGTAGTCACTAGCAATGGACTGAATGGGAGAGAGAGATGAAATATCATAAGAGCAGAAATCATTCCAGTAACATGACTGAAAGAAAAAGATCTGAAGAAAAATCTAGTTTTGTACAGCAAAGATGAGCAAAGAAAAATAAGAGCTGCTACGATGCACAAGGCAAGCAAAAGAGAAAAAGCAAAGGGTAATCGATGGAAATAAATTATTTTACCCTCCGGCCATAAGTTCCTCTGTCATAACATACTCCCACAAGTGGGACATGACAGCTGCGTCAGCCCTGTTGATTAAAAGTAAATAAAAAAAAAAACTGAACAATTTCACAAAACACATTATTTTTAAGATCACTGAAAAGCTGTCCTGAAATATTTAATAAAAAATTGAAGTGCCTTCAACACATGGTTTGATGTTTCCTGACTTGCACCTGTACAAAATTTATTTTCAAAATTTTCTTCCAACCCAATGAGGATAGCTGACAGAACGTTTATCAACTTGATCAGATGTTATACATTAAGTTACACATATAAAGCGATACCTCAAATAAATTTTGTCTTAGGCAAGAATACACACCATGAATGCTCTGAGTTGAAGCCAATCTGAAACAAAAGCAGTTACAATTTTAAAAAATAGATTTGAAAATTTCTGAACTCTAATGAAAGAGGTTTATGTTACTAACCCTGCCATTAGATCCAATGCAAAGAGTGAAAGACTTATCGAACCAGCGGTCATATCCCTTGCCATGAAGAAGAACTCTGCCAAATTTGTCCAATAGCTCTGGACGGCTCTGTGAAGCAAGTAAAACTTCAAAATTATGCAATACTTCAAAAGAAGTTAAATGATTGATGATTCCAAGATTATACCTGATCAAATTCATATGGTTCATCATCAAGACTGACAGTGAAGGCTGCCTTTTCAATTGCATCTAGGGACTGGCGATTTGTTCCTTTAAAGAAGAACTCCTGCCTTGTGTTTGCCCAATGTGTGCGAGGTCCGGCAGTGAGTGCTGCTAGTCGTTCTTCTCCCTCAAGTGGCTCACTCTTATTGTCTAGAATGGCTTGCATTTGCCTAACAAACAAAGAGTTTATGACAGACGATTAAGAGAAAGAAATTTATTTGAAACAGGGAGTGAGGGTTGTACTTACACTTCTAGTTCACAAGGCAGCAAAAGCCTGTTTTTGTGATAAATGATGACCTTGAAGTACCTGCCTCGGTGGTACACAACAATGTGACAGGAGTCAGAGTAATGAACAATACGGTCGGTTTCAGGACCAGGGACTCTAGTTGTGTTAAAAAGACGTTCATACTGCCAAGAGCAGAGTGGCACGAGTCCCTGAATTAAAATCTGGAGGAATACAAAATAACAATAACATATTACCAGTAGTTCACACAGAAAATTCGACTAAATACACCTGTAGAGGCATTGCTAAGTTAGTTTTCTAAACTTACAGGTTCCATCTCTTGACGTTCGATGAGTCGTCGGTACTGAAGACAAGTATAAATGACTGTAGCAGCACGAGCAGCTTGAATTTTTGTTGGGTGCATCAAGATTGCATCAATGCCATAAAAATTTGAGTTTACCATGAGTGGAGATCTTCCTCTGAGGTAAACATATTCTTCCCACCAATCTGATACATAGTTACTGGCCCACCTGTAGATGTAAGCAATACAAAAGAATGATTGTTATGCTTGTGTGCAAAGACAATAGAAAGGATTGAAACAGGAATAGATATGAACTAACCAGGATTTTAACTTAAGATATCTTTGTAGTTTTGTGCCAATGCCACTTCCAAATTCCTCTGCAAGTTTTTCCATGCGAGAGTATTCCTCATTGTTCAAGAGCGGACGGACACTTCTTAGATACTAGAATGTCAAAAATGAAAGATAGATAAATAAAATAGATTCACAATTTAACAAAAGTTAGTAAATTTTAAGGATTTCATACCCTTTTAACTGTATCATCAAGAGCAGGAACAGGTAACTTGGGAAGGGAACCTTGGAAGGAGTATAGCATTGGGCGGCTAACTCCTGACAGAGCTTTTACTAAGACCAGCCACAATTTTGTTTTGGTAGAAATTGACCTACCACTACCTCGCTCTTCATACATCCAACCTTGAGAAAAAAATGCATTAATTACAGTTGCATACAAAGCTAGATTTATAGAAAAACTTCTAAACAATAGACAGTTTACACAAACCTTTGTACACCAGAAGTAGTCTTAGAGTATACCTAATAATCTGTATTACTGCAAACCACACACTTAGTGCAACTGTAAAGCATGCCACCACCTGCCAGTGAAACGCCGTGCTACACACAAAAATCAACCAATTGAAAACATAAGTAAAACCTTTCACTTGAATATCTCAATGCAAATATTAAGTAAAATACTACAAACCTTGGTAAATGTGGTAAAAGCATTCCTACTAGCCCAATAGGAAGTCTAACCCCTGCAAAGTGTAGAGCCACAAGAATACCAACAGTTGCCCACAAGCTCTGAAGCGGAGCTGGATATACTCCATTCTTTACACTGTTCTGTGATTTGAGGGGGATAAAAATAATATTAATGACCAGTAGCTAAGTTGGTAAAAAAAATAGATTTCTTGAGTGTACATACTTGAAAACGCCACAATCTTTTCTTCCACGAACGGATGCCTGAAGACCATACAAGATGCAAGACTTCCCGGTCGAAGTTCACATCCCATCCCTCGTGAGAGATGGAAAATGAAAAGGCTACGGCAGAATGAGCTTCAGCCATGGTGCGGGCCGGGTCCTAAGGACCTGGAAAAGATAATTAGAAGATTTTTTTAGAGAAAGTATCCACTTGTATCATTTCCTTGCACAAGTGATTTGGGAATTAATTGTGATACATTTAAGAGTAACTATGGCCCATACTACTTTAGTAGAGAGCTACTCAAAGAAGAGACACGTTAAATCTGGTGAAGACCTTTGAGCTGTGCTTCACAGATTGTGCTCACAGTCAGACTGACAGGGAATTCCAAATTACAGGTCCCCGGAAACGTTAGGTAGCAGGCGGATATTACCCAAAGTGTAAAAGTCAAGAGTGGAGTGCAGCAAGAGGCAGACAAGACAGGTTGAGAAACCGACCACTAAACACTACACTACACACACACACATACACAGTGGTGAAGTCAGCCCCCCCCCTCCCCCAGCACCTGCTAAGGGCGTACATTTTGCCAGTCGCGCGCTCCCCAGGGCATGCTCAGCTCAGAGGGCCGCCGAGTGCCGAGGCTTGAAGGACTTCCCCACCCCCGTCCAGAGTGCTATTTTCGCGACATCAGACCGCGGCTTGGTGGCGGCGCGTGTCAGCGGAAAGAGGGGAGATGGGGAGGGGGGGGGGCACGACAATCAGCTCCACTTGCAAATAATTTCCTACTCCACCGCGACAGCGTGCTGGACATTGCGTACAGGGTGCGTCTGTTCCAGGGGCAACAAAAAGAGGAGCGGGCGCTTCTGGTTAAAGTCCCTGGATCGTGGACTTTAGTCCTGGCCTGGTTAGTAAACAGCTGCAGGTGACGAACAATAATGCGGGAAGAATGGTTCAGGCTCGAGCCTCGATGACACACTTGCGTCGTATATGAATGAAATGACCGGTGGACTTCGGACCTCGCCCCCCCCCCCGCACACTCCCCCCGACGAGAGGGGAGAAGCATGTCCATGAGGGGGGGGGGAGTAGCGCCCAGTAGCACTCCATCAAGAGAGGAGTGAGGAGGGGGGGGCAGGGGGAGGGCCCGGGGCCCCCCCCCCTTTGGGGCCTTTCCCCCCCCCCCCCCCCCCCCCCCCCGGGGGGGGGGGGGGGGGGTGGGGGGGGGGGGGGGGGGGGGGGGCTGCCAGCGCCTGCCCATCGTTGTGGTCCTTCCCCCGCCTCGTCCCGCTCCGCCGTCGCCCCGCGCCGCACAGACCAGCAGCAGCGGCAGGCCTCTGCACAAAGATCCAAAGCGGCCCAACGTCCATCATGTTCCCCGCACATTTGCGCGGTGGGCCGAGGATCCTGCCCGCCCAGTGTTCGCAATACCGCGCCGCCGACGGCGCAGAACAAGCGCGAGCGCGGGCGGGGAGCGCGTCGCGGAGCGGTGCAGCCACGTGCTCGCCCAGGGAGGGCTGCCTGACGGCGGGCTGCCTGACGGCGAGCTGCCGTGCAGGTATGGCGGCGGCAGGAGGAGGTTGAGCCACCGCAAGCAGCAGCAGCAGGTGCGCGGGGAGGATGTGCACACCGGCGTGCGACCCCAGCCGGGCCGGCTCATTAGTGGTGGCCAAATAACAACAACGCGGAGCGAGAAGAGAAGCGGGGAAAGGAATATTATTGAGTCGGACCAGTCGGACGCAGCAGCAGCGGCAGGCGACCTCGACCAAAGGTGGCCGTGGAGCCGGCGGCGCGGGGGCCGCGGGGGCCGGGCGGAGAGGAGCGGCGCGGCCGCAGGATAGCGCGGTAGGCGCGGGCGGGGGCCGGACCTTTGGCCGCGTGGAGCCAGCGAAGCGAGCGCTCACACGACACGGCGCACTTTGGCCGGGCAGGCTAACGCACCGAGTACCCCTGGCCGGGTACCCCTGGGTACACCCGTGCGCGACCCTTGCCCCGCCCCGTGCCGCTCCGGGCGGACAGGTGCACAGGAGGTGCACTGTATACTGCAATATGCCCCCCCTTCCGGGCCGGCCGGCCACGAGGCGCCCCAGCGCGGCGCGCAGTAAAGAAAGACACTTGTTTTCATCGCAGCGCCCTCCGATATCCGGCCCGGTTTAGAGTCCTATCGGTCACGACCTCCGCCCCACGTGGACTCGCCCCCACCCCACCCCCAATCCGCTCCCGCGCACAAACAGGCGCCATTTAGACCCATGCGGCCTGTTATCGCCACTCTTCTCTGGCGCTGGCTATTATACAATGCTCCCCCCCCCCTCTCTAGCGCCCGCCTATCTCCGTCGCACTCCCAGTTAGCTGCTCATCTTCCTCAGGCTCATCCAATACCTCCTGAACCCCTACCGCCCCCGCCCCCTCCAGGGGACCTCTTGAGCTTTGGACCCGCCGCGCCGCCGCCGCGCTCGTGCGCCCGCGCCTCGGACACGGAGCTCGTGAGCGCTCGTGAGCTGCGCAAAGTGCCTCCTCCTCCGCACACACACACATAAACGTGGCAGTGAGGATGCTGCTGAAGGACACGCGGTTCAAAAAAGTGAGACATAAGAAGACGACTTTTCCAATAGACCTGCCACATGTCGCGATCGCACTAAGCAGGCGGCAGCGCCGGCGCGGTGACGCCACATCGCCGATTCGCGCGGCGCAGCGAAGGCCTCTCAGCCTCGACTGTACTGCACCATGTTGCAGCGCGCGCGCAGCTGCACCGCGGAAAAAGGAAGAGACAACAAGCACTTTGTTTAAAGGTCGACTGAAAAAAAAACTGTCTCTCAATTCCTCCATTCAAGTTTTTGATTGTTATTGTTACTTGTTGTGCGTGATGAGTTTGCTGTAGGCCAATGATGCAGCGTGGTGCGCGAAATGAGTGAGGTACCGTGGGTACCGTGAGGTACCGTTGGGCCAGCCCAGCCGTAGGCCATAGGCAGCCCCGGGGCCAGGTCCAGGCGGCCGGGCGCGGTGGGCCCGCTATTTGGATGAGTCGCAAGTGGCCCGCACCACCACGGCCGCGACAGGCGCGCGCCTCCACTTTCACCATGACGCGACACCACCACGACGACGACGTGCCAACGCCGAGCATGTCGTCTTAAGACGACGCGGCGAGTGCCTAACAGGGTGCGTCAGGGTAGAGTCTTAAGTTTCAAAGGGGACCCGTACCGTACAGCCCAACATGACATCACCGACGTTACGCCTGCGGCTCGCTTTTAAGCTCCCCGCTGGATTGGGTCCAGAGAGTGCATCCGTTTATCTCAAGAGCGGTTTTGTGATTGGTTCTCATTCGGCAAAGGACGGGGGCTGGGCGCCTGCGAGACTCGGGGTAGGCCACGCCGCAGTACACGCGTGCACGGCAGGCGAGGTGTTGCCTACCTACCAGGCGCTCTGAGAACCGCCATAGGAACTAGGCTGTTTCGTACTCAACGCATCATCCCTTCTACTGACCAACCGACCCTGTGTGAAGACCATGCTTCGCAACGTCGAGTAGGAAAATGTTTTGGTCAACGCACCGCGATCGGCGATGACAAAAAAACATGAGCCATAGTAAGGAAGTAATAAGGAAAGGTACACATTTACACAGGGTACACATTTTCATGGCAATTTTTCTGACAGCGTACGAAAGGTAAAAACCCTACCACGTTCAAACCAAGAGGCCAGGACTAGTCTCTTGTTCAAACTGCGCCAATGCTTTTGCTACGGGCGGGCGGTCTTGAAAGGGCAGTCCCCATTAAACATTCGCGAAATGCGCCAATATTTTCTTGTAGAATAAGGGCGGGGTTTAGCGAGTGGTCTGCGTAGGCCTGCCCCGATCATTGGGCGGGGTATAAGGGGAAAACAGGTTGGTTGGGGTGCGGGCCGCGGGGTGTGGCCGACCACCTCGCCTCACTCAGCGGGGCGCGAGGCGGGGCGGGGAAAGCACGGGCGGGGATCACACTAACTGCGACCAAAACTGTCGGCCAGACCCGTCCAGTCCCAGCTGGCGCAACGCAAACCTAACCTACAGGGGCCCCCGTCCCCCCCGGCCCGACCGGGCAGTGCGAGCCAGACAGCAGGTAGGCCGCACCGGCGCACGGCTGAGAGGCACGCTGCCTACCTCCGCTACCACAGGCGCTATTTCGTTAACCTCCGATGCCTGTACGAGAGCCAGACCATGGCCGCGAGAGAGGATGCGTTGTTGTCGTAGTGATCCCCCATCCACTCTTCTAGTCGAAAGACTTCGCCGATGGTTGCAATCACACACAAGATACCTAAAACCAGAGGAAGGTTGTCACGTGCAGAGCCACTTGTGTGAAAACAACACAACATCCTTTTCGATCCATCATATTTTATTTTTATTTTTAAAAAGTGACAGGGCAGCCGAGCTGGTGCGCAGACTTTGCAAGGCCAGGGTGTAACAGGGTCCAACGGTCGCTCTCCAGCCGCTCCAGCTCGCATTGCAACATCCAGGGCGGGCTGAGGCGGGGTGGGGCGGGGTGAGGCGGGGTGAGGCGAGGTGGGACGCGGCCAGGCCAGTGAGCCCCAGCGGGCCCCGAGCTGAACAGCCAGCCGCAAGGTCAGGTTCGGCCGGTCAGGTTGGATCAGGACCCCCTCCAGCCGCCCTTCGGCGGGTCAAGCCTCTCGCCTGTTCCTCACGAGAAGGTCCCCATTACATTAGTACAGGGCGAAGGAAGTCGCGGGACCGCCACGGCGAGCCAGCAAGTGACTCACAGAGCCAAGTCGAATCAAAACAAAAACATGCGCAATAGGCGTAAACAAACAAGGTGCCTGCCCCCCGCGCACGTGGCGCGTGGGGCGAGCTCGCTCCGATACCGGGGCGGTAAAGTCCAGCTCAGGGCAGTGGCGTAGCGTAGAGAAAAGGGGGGGGGGGTCTTGGTCGCACAGTTGGCGAACCGTGCCGTTTCGTTTGCGCAAGGACTTGAATCCGCCGCCGCCACCGCGGCCCCCCGCGTCCCGCTACCTCGTAGTTGTAGACGCATCGGCCCGGCCCGACCAACAAGACGGCCCGCGCCCGCGCCACGCCCGCGTTTTCCGAAGGAGTGAGATAATTGAAACAAACACGAGAGAAAGGAGGGGAGGGGGAGAGGGAGGGGGCGTGAGGCCCGGTACTAGCCGTGGGGCCGGGGCGACAATGGCGGTCGCACGCAGCGCGCGCTAGTAGAGCAGCAGAGCCAGCAGAGCCAGCAGAGCTCTGCTCGAGATCAAAAGCGGCGCGCTTTTCGCGCCCCTTTCTTCAATGGCCGCAGTCGCGTCGCGGCGGTGGTGGTGCAGCCTCGGGGAGAAAGTAGGGGAATGACCCGTGGGCGGCCCGGCCCCGCGCGCACCTGTCACCTCATTGTCCAGTCTCCAGGGAATGGCTTCTGTACTGTTCTGGCGGGGCGGGGCGGGG